ATGTGTGTGTGTGTGTGTGTGTGTGTGTGTGTCTGTGTGTGTGTGTGTGTGTGTTTGTATTTGGGAAGCAATTCCAGTGTTTTACAAGTTTCCTTAAAAACGCCAGATTAGGTATTGCAGTTAAGTTTTTTTTTTTTTATTTATTTAATTTTTTTATATTCTTATAATTTTCTTCTTGGGCGTAAATTATATAGAAATCGCCCGAATGTTTTCTATATCCGAGCGCTTTCAGCAAAACTTTTAGCTATTATCAAGGATGATTTTATTTTTACTATTTATTACATCTGGTTTGGGTTTCCTGATATATATTTAGAGATTCTTGATAAAATTTATAGAAAAATATACAATGTTATAGATTCTGACCTAACATCTCGGCTTCAATCACTTCCTCACAACACATAACGTACCTTCCCTGTGCATTTTCTATAAATACTTTGACGGTTAATTGTTCTGATGACTTTCCTCTATGGTACCTAGACTCTATGAATTTATGCGAAGTACTTGATTGGTAGCCAATTCTAATCTTTTTAACGTTTAAATGGCTACATGTAACTGTCAGTTCTATACTAACAGTTTCTTCTATCGCCCTTTCGCTCGCACTTTTCGCTCATGGAATTCTCTTCCGGGTTACTGATTTCCAGTCAATTTCTGTCTTCAAAAATTTAAATTCAATGTCAGTCGTTATCTTCTGCCTTCTTAGTTCTTTTTCTTTTATTGTTCTCAGCCCTTAATATTATTTTTCAGATATTTTATAACACTCAGTAACCCCTTGCGTCTCAGTGGCTTTAATGACTTCTATATATTGAAATATATATATATATATATATATATATATATATATATATATATATATATATATATATTATATAAGTATTTGAATAATCATATTAATTCATGGAGTCTAGAAGAATGCTCAACAGAATGCAGAAAGCACTGGACGGCCGTTTCGTCCTGTTTTTGAGACTCATCAGCAGTGCGTATCCAGTACCAAGAATCGAACCAGGACAGTTATGATATGATGCAAGCCACTACGACCAACGGGTCTCGATGACGAAGACATAAGATACTAGTAATATCGTAATGGTCCTCTGTGTGTGTGTGTGTGTGTGTGTGTGTGTGTGTGTGTGTGTGTGTGTGTATGTGTTCGGCGAGGAGAAGCTGTCGGAAGTTTTGTTTTAACCAAGTAACCCTTTTCTGTCAGTATATCAGTCGGTGTGTCTGTCTAAAAAAATAAAGTTCAAGTCCAATGACATTACAAAGAAAAAGATCGCTCGAAAATAGGAAAAGAAAGCCAAGAGGAAGACCTGTTGGGGAATTTAAGTCTGAGAACAAATATCTTCACAGGGAATCTCTTTTGAATCAGGCATCGGGGATGTTGGCATTGAAAAGCTCAGCATCTTGTTTGCTTCGGAAGCGAACGGACGGATGTACGGAGACCGACACATTGACATTCTTGCAGTGAAAAGGTGATGCAGGAAAACGATGGCGAACGATGTAGAAAAGCGATAAATATAACAACAGAAAACGATAGATAGATAGATAGATAGATAGATAGATAGATAGATAGATAGATAGATAGATTGACTAACTGACTACTTGTTATAAGGAGATGAGACCGAATACAAAAGGAATAGTATTATTATTATGCACAAAAAAGGAAAAGATTGTGTTGCGAAAATCTTTGAACTGGTAAAGATTGTTGCAACAAAATCAATTTACAAAACAATTTTTCGCCTGTCCTCGAACAGACATTGTGCTTAATGGAGCGTTTTGCTTTCTGTCTCAATTTCAAACATTCAAAATTTTAATACATTTATCTATGGCAAATTTTCAAATTTCATGAATATATTAACTACCAACACATTTTTAAGCAAGTGGGAAAATTTCACTTGCTTAGAAAAATTAACAATTGACTTCTGGGGAATTAACACTCTTTGGGTTTGAACACCGGCTACAAACGCTAGATGACGCACAACCCACTCAGGTAAAAAAAAAAATAGTTATAAAAAATATTAAAAAATGCCTATGTGAAAAATAATATTACCTGAATGTGTTAATTGTTTCATGGAGTTTATACAAAAGTATGTTGAAAAATCTTCAGTTAAATTTGTTGCCATTGTATAAATTTTCACCTTTCAAGTTTCACTAAGAAATGCTGTCAAAAATATTATCTTTGTCTGACATCAATTCCCCACCATTTCCCAACAGGCATTGCTCACAAATGATAATATAAAAATACGTACCACATTCGGTTCGCGGATCTTAAAATCTTTTGTATATATTCGAAAATGGATCAATAGCCATACATTAATACAGAATTAGATTAATAAATAATTAACCTTATAAAATAAGTGCCTTTTTTATCATAAGGCTGCAATACTATTCATACGCCTGTGTCTATAGAAAAACAAATTATGCTCGTCTGTTTGTTACGGATTCGTTTCATCTGCAAATAAAAATATAAAAAAAATTATTTTTGTAAATACTTTGGAAATAGATAATTTAAAACTAAAATTGTATTAGAACTTGTTCATTTCTCGGGTACCGAAATTTTGGATTGAGTTGTTATTTTTCAGAAATCAGTTTCCATTAAAATATTTTAAAATTATAAGAAACTATGAAAAAATGTTGGCTATTTCAGAGGTTAGTAGAGCATCAGCAAAAATTATCTAACAAGAAGCTTTTCAGGAGGATTACAACTTTTGAAGAAACAAAGAAATATCTATTTTACATCGTGTGTCTATATATATATATATATATATATATATATATATATATATATATATATATATATATATATATATATATATATATATATATATATGTGTGTGTGTGTGTGTGTGTGTAGGTAGGACGACAGAAGTGAGAGAAAGAATTGTCATTTGTATTTTATTTCCACATTTTAATTTATAAAAATTGAAGCAGAATCCACTCCCAAATAACAACCCCTAAAGTTCCAAAACTTTAAAAACAAATTTTAAAAGAAACGTCTTTCCTGTGGTGTTTAAAATAAACAAATTATGTTTTTTGTTAATCCCATCGATATGTACATCTTAGCTGAAAGCAATTTTGACCATACTTTCAGTGTTCTCTTCAAAGAAAAGTATTCACATCTATGCATCGTTTGATCTATATATTGTGGTTCAGATGTGTCACTTTGTCTGTTATTTGATCGATTTGAAGGAGCGAAAATCAGCACGCAAATAAAAACGTGAATACAGTGAACACATGAATATTAAGTCTATGAAGAAAAGCGTTATAAAGATATATATATATATATATATATATATATATATATATATATGTGTGTGTGTGTGTGTGTGTGTGTACGTGTGTATGTTTGTGTGTGCGCGCATGTGTGTGGATTTCTTTCGGCCATTCGTCTAGTCATTAAATATTTTACTATAGATTTGGACGTGTTAAGTATTGAAAAACAAACCATATAGATGGTAAAATATCTTGCTACTTTAATTTAAAATTGTGGCATAATATGTATGCAATAAGAAATCTTGATATACAAGGCAATGTGCAATTAACTTGGCTTATGAAGCGTGTATTTTGAGAAGGGGGGCATTTTACGGAGCAGGTATTTTAAAAAGTGCTATGAAAGAAAAAATAATTCTAATATGCAAGACAATTTTTCTCGCCAGAATCTATCCTATATATTAATAAGTTTTCCATTCGACCTTGCTTTGGATATTTTTCCCACATCTGATTTGGTGCTATTGTTATATATTTACAGATTCTAGATAAAATCCAAAGAAGAATCTGCAATGATATTGGTCCTGACGTGGTATCTCGGTTTCAGACACTTTTCCCACCGCCGTAATGTGATTTGCCTCTTTCATGGTAATTGTTCTGTTGAAATTTCCTCTATGGTACGTAGACTTTATGAATTTAGGCGTAGTACTAGATTGGCGATAATCGTACATTTGAAATGGCTATAGATGTAACTGTAAGTATTTCTGCTAACAGTTCTATCGCACTTCTCGCTTGTCGAAATCCGGCTTCTTGCTTCCTACTCATCTTTGATCTTCAGAAATTTAAGTCCAATGTCAATAGTTCTCTTCTGTCTTCTTAATGTTTGCTCTCTTATTATCTTCTCTCCTTAATAGTAATCGTTCTTTTACATTCGCTCACATTCAGTAACTTGTTGTGTCTTATTGGCGTTACTGACTTGGTTGGGGGGGGTTGAAATGATTTAAAAACAAAACAGGAAAAGAAAAAGCAAGCGGAACTTGTCGATTGAACTTAATACTTGTTTATACACAAACACCTACACACACACACACACACGTATATATTTATTTAGAGAGAGAGAGAGAGGGAGAGAAAGAAAGAGAGAAGGCGAGCAGTCCTCTGATCAAGACTTGCTTTAAAGAACTCGTCAAATGTTAAACTCTAAGCCAATTTTATATCCACCTTGTCTATTTCTTTACAATACAATATTCTCCGATATTGTGCACTCAGAAGTATAGAAAATTTTAAATAATATGCTTGTGTGTATGAGTGTATCTCATTACGTTCGTAAATAGTAGTTTAAATTATATATACTTATATGTACATATATAGATATATTGATATGAACTTTTCTATACGAGTGTAAATCAATAACGCCACAGCTGGAATTTCACTGAATTTTTATTTGAAAATTTATCCGTATATTATTCGATCTATATGGGAATATTCATTGAATGAAGGAAGAAGATTATGTTGAAAAATTGCTGTATAAAATGAATACTTTTTCATTATAAGGCTACTGATTTATTGACGTATTTCTGCATACGTGCAAATTTACTAACGTTGCATCAATGAAAAAATGATCTATATATGCTTTTACTATTCAAAACACTTCTCTCTACTACTTCCTCTTCTCGTTCGTCTCCCCTTCTTCCTCATCCATCTCCTCCTCAAATCATTTCCCCCAACACCAATCACTAATCAATCATAACAACTCCCTCCGCACATTAAATTTTATTTCTCTGACTGCCAATATAACGATGCAAGCCAGTAGTGTTATCGACACGAAACTGGGGTGGGGGCATTACCTCAAATAGTGTCACTTTTCATGATAGCCTAATCGATAACACACTATTGATACTACGTCTACTGCTATTTATACCAGTTGAGCGGATTTGAACTTTCCTTCTTTTCTTTTTTGCCTTCACCTTCCAACTCATTCATTCGTTCTTTGCATTTCTAATTCTTCTTTTCTTTATTTCGACTTTGTTAATGTTTCTTAACTCTTCCTCTTTCTAACCAGACTCCTTATTTAGTTATATCTTTCTTTACTTAGATATATTTGACTCCCTTTAGATAGTTTTCTTTTTTTTTTCCACATCCCTTTACTCCTCCTTAAGCCTTTTCCTCTTTTTAGCTTTACTCTCTCCATTATACCCACCCTCTTAATTTTCTCCCTTTACTTTTATTCATTTTCTTTTCCCTTTACGTCACTTCTTTATTCTCTCTGCTGGTTTACTATTTCTTCCTTTGTTCATTTTTTTCTCACTCAATTCTTCCGTTTCCTCCTCCTCCTCTTTCTCTTTTTTCCTGTTCTGTCTTCCTAATTTTTACTTTGATTCTGGCTGCTACTTTTCTTTTCCCCATTAACATTTTACCTTTAGCCTTTTCTCCTCTTTCTATCTCTCTCTCTTTCTCTTTCTCTTAACTCTAGTTACTCCCTCAGCCTCTTCACCTTCTTTTATTCCTGTATTTTTCTATTCTTTTTATTCGTTAATCTTTATTTTCATCCTGTTTTGCTCTTTATCATCTCTCTTTTACCCAGCCTACTTCCTCTGTTTTTTTAATCCTCCACTTTCCTTTTCTTCTTTGCCTTCTTTTCATTTTTCTTTTTCTTTCCGTTTTATTCTCTTTCCAGACCTTCCTTTCATTCTTTTTTCCATATCTTTACATTCTCTTTTTTCTCACCTTCTTTCTCATTTATTTTTCTTCTCTTTTACATTTTCAGTTCCCACTTATTTCTTTTTTAACATTTCATTTTCTTTGTTTTAACTTATCTCTCTCTCTCTCTCTCTCTCTCTCTCTCTCTCTCATCCTATTCTTAAATTTCCGTTTCAATCAACTTTTTCTCTTTTTACCTCTTATTTTCTTCTCTCCGGTATTTTGCTTCCTTTTCTTTTCACCCTATATCCCCTCTCTCCATCTTTCCTTCTCATTCAAATTCATACCCCTCCTCTTCCTTATTTCTCCTCATTCACTTTTTGGTTGTATTTCTGTCACACTCCTCTTTCTTCATCTCTTTTTTTTTTTTTTTTTGAAAACGTTGCCTTCTTTCTCGTCTCCTTTCTTTTTCTCCTTCATTATCCACACTCTCCAAAAACTCCCCTACTATCTAAAAGCTTGACAGCCTTGTGTGAATGTTAGAGAATATGAAAATTTAAACCGCTGTCTTAGGCATTGCCTTAATCAGATTCTGAATAAGAAAACCGATTTTTAAAGCAGGACCAATAGCGTCCAGTCTTGTTGATATTCCAGGAGAGCACGGATATTTACAAGTCGAGTGATGTAAGAACCATGACTCATTCTTCTATGACGTTCTTTCTTGAACGAACTAAATTGGCATTGGTGTTAACTGTTTCGTTCAAGGATAGGCATTTTGAAACTTGAGTAAATTGGTTGAGAATTATAGTCAGTTTGTTCATATGCTAATATAGTCAGCTGTCAATGATTCTCCAAATGATGCGATCATATACAGTGGTTATTACGTGCAAATTATAATATAAATATAGAAGATAATCGACGGAAAATCCTTATATTCAACTTAAAAAATTACAAATTTATTGAATAAAATCACCGTCAACCGGTATCAGGTGGTTCTCGATTATGTGGCTTTCACGTCCATGATGACAAACGTGTCCTTGGTATTGTTGGTTCGCATGACACGAAACATTACATTAGTTTGTCTTCCATTTATGGCCCGCTAAATATGTAATGTCAAATACATAGCATACTCTCTAAGTATATTTATATATGGATATATCTATGTAAAATTTCTTTTGAGTATCTAATGTTGTTGCTTATTGCTCACCAGTGTTATTTAAAGTGAATACTTCAAGTTCATATTATTAAAGTAGATAGGTTCGACCTACTTGGATGACTGGTGCAACACAATCTTCTTAAGCGATTTATTACTTAATATTAAACATTATTATTGGATACTGGTATTTGAAATAGCCACTTCATTTTTATTTTAAGGGAAAGTCTTGAAGATGACCCAAAGTTTGGATGTCCTGCAACTGCCATCACTGAACAAAACAATGATTGTGTTCACTATATGACAGACTATATATCAAATATGCCATTAGCATATTTCGTTAGATGGTTGAGAATATTCTGCACAATGAACTATCAAGAAAACTGACGAAAGATGACTTTTTTCATCCAGACAAGTCCTTGGTTTTAATGGCTGCTGCGCGTAAATGGTTTTTAACTGGTTTATTATTCCCCTTTTTCTCCTGATTTGACTATCATCTGTTTCCCAACCTAAAAAAAAAAACACACTTGGTTGGAAACCAATACCGTAGTGAGGATGCTGTTGATAATTTTCTTTTTACCAAAATATTGAACAGTCAGATGTCAGTTTACCTGAAAAAAAAACCAATGCAGTTGAAATTAATGCATACAAGATTTTACAGCTTCATTCCTTCATAGTCAGCTTATGATTTTTGCACCCCACCATCGTATTTTGTTCTCTACTCGATCGCCAAAAACTGTTGTTGAATTGATAAACTTCCAGTGTGATACTATACTGCAAAATTTTTAGCTTTCTTATTATTTAGGCTAAATAACAGTTTCTACAATCCACTTGTGATTTTCCCAACTACAGAGCGTTTAGTATTTAAACCATGGGATATGCGTCTATGGAAACGCAGAGTAAAATTCCCAGGTTTATTGTGGGGACCGAAAACGTTCTAATATTCTCATTCTCACTGAAGCGAATTGTTCACTATTTAAGATTCATTCAAAATTAGGCCTAAGTGATTTCTATTTTAATATCTCAGATGCACAATTCCCATTATTATATACTTGAGCAACTGAAATTCTTTTTTATCTTCTTCTTGTAGTTACAACGTTTCCGTCGTTGTATTTGTATTCATTTGTACGCTTGGTCCAAAGAAGAAATTTCAACTGCCTTATTCTCTAATGTTGCTCATTAGTCTGACTACTTTCTACAAAACCTTTCTCGTCTGCGCATAATTAGCCATTCATGACTTCATAAACACGCTTCTATGAATTACGGCTTTTCGAAGTCTCTCGAGCCTTTAGATAGCAAACCGCTCTCGCTTTTATATTTCTTGCTACAAAATGTATGGAATTCTATACACAAAGTTCTTAGAAATATTTATATTTTTGCGATGTATATCTGAAGATACCAAATACTTTTGAATAGTGTCCTAATATTGAATATTCAGTAGATCTTTTGATTCCGTTCTGATACACTTCTGTCTCAATCTTTGCCATCCGCCCTTATATCTCTGTTGGTGGTAGTTGTTACTGGAAAAGTTTATATTTAATTTGAATAAAGTGTTTATTTCATGTTTCATTTTTTTTTCTTTTTTTAAATATCTAAAAGGTCTTCTTTTCTCACATTTCTTTGTATTAGGCTCTATAGCCTCACCAAACACCACCAAACCTCTACGTCATTGCTCAGAAATATCTTCGTCATACTAATCTTCTCTTGTTGGTGCGTGTCTGGGTTACCACATGAGTTTGGATTAGCGACCCTGTTCTTCACACAGTATGTATGGAGAGAATCAAAATTCAGATATCGACTGATGAATGTTGATTTCTGATATAGAGATCTTTCGAACTCCTCCTCTGTAGATTTATTAGTACTTCCAACAATATCATTTTTATCGTCAATTTCCTTTTCCATCATGAATTGTAATGATGATCTTATTGAGGTCACAATACTATTATTGAGTGGTATTGTATAGTATTTGCATATATTCCTGATGAGGCCAGATGATGAATGTGCCACCCATATCTCACAGTCTGATAACTAGTTTCAAACCTGTCGTTCTTTAATCTATTTCCTCAAAGAATTCCATGTATATATTTATCATTGTTTCCTGTTTAGGAAAGGGGTTCCCGGTTCTTTTCCCTTTCTCAGGTATTAATAGTGGTGCTACCATGCATTTTTTGTGATATGTAAGGATGGTGGCAATGTCTCTTTATACAGGGGAGTACCGGGTTGTCAATTTTCTTTCGCTGTTCCCAACTGGTAGTTAGGACCCCGAACGTAGCATCTTGATAGACTTCTCTGATCAACAGTCGCATAATATCAGGGTTCTTGCACTACCGTGTCGCGCATGAAAGGGATTCCTTGCAAGCACCCCCGTTGGGCAATGCCCACACAATGTTGCAGTCTACGCCAGTTCCCTTCCTGTACATGTTACATTAGATGACCCACTGCTACTACTACCATAGGCTTAGTCCCTTATGAAGCCTCTATCTCTCTATTAGTCTCCTATCGTTTTTTTTTTTGCCAAAGTATTCGAGGCTGTAATCAATGCTGACCTAATTAAACATACTATCTCTGAAGTTTTGCCAGATCTACCGCTGATGTGCTTATGGCCATCACTGGATATGTATATCAAGCGCTTGGTAATAACGGCGAAGATCGAGCTGTGGCTCTAGACAACTCGAATTTGTTTGACAGGGTCTCGTATGCTAATCTTCTCCGTACGCTCCAGTGCTACGGTATTACTGGATGTATGTTTGATTTAATCCAATCGTTCCTATCAAATCGTGAAATGAAGGTCGTTTTGGACGGGCTCGCTTCCAGATTCTTTCACACGAAGGCAGGTGTTCCCCAAGGCTCTGTTCTGGGTCCTACGCTGTTACTGATCTTCATCAATGATCTCCTTAATGTCGCCAGTTCCCAAGTAGGCATTTACCCTGATGGTATTATGATGACACTATCATTTACTCCTGTCTCAATAGCAAAGCCGTCAGAGTTGACAAAATTATTCTGGACGCTGCTCTTGAAAGGGACCTCCAATCAATGGTTAACTGGGGCAGGAAATGGCTCGTAAATTTGAATACCACCAAAACGAAAATGCTTTCAATTCACCACCATAGATAAACTTTTCTGCCCTCCACCAGCATGGCTGAGATTCATGGAGAGCAACACACTGCGACTAACTTGAAGAGGAACGCCTACATCGAAACAATACTGCATTTACTGCAACGAAATTTGGGTCACTGTGTCGTGCCAGAAGTTTTTTTTTTCTCGTAACAGTCCATCCTGATCGTTTACAAATCTACCATTTGTCCGTACATTGAATACCGTTGTCATATCTGGTCAGCTGCTCCTGCTAGTCATCTCGAGGTTCTTGAAAAGAATCCAAAGTATATGCGATGTAATCGATCATGATTTGGTATCTCGACTTCAGTCACTTTCTCACCGACGTGAGGTGACTTCCCTCAGTCTTTTCTCCAAATATTTTCATGGATACTGTTCTGATAAGTTTTTTTCCCTTGTGCACGGACTACGCGCTAGTAGGTCGCATCTAGACCACAACATTTTACTGTTGAATAAAGTAAATATAACTGCCACTACTACTCCAACAGTTTCTTTTCTTGCACTTCCCGCCTGTGATTTTGATATTGCGGTGAGAAAAAAGTATTTATTCTGAAGAAAACACTTACAATAGATAAACAGATTTAGACAATAGTCAAATAGCGAAGGAGTAGAACGTTTGTTTGGCGTCAAAACTTTAACAGGGGAAAATATGACTGTTTTAAAAATTAGCATTTAAACCTTGGTTTTTACTTGAGCATAACCATCGACCAGGGCGCTAGTGGTAGAGGTGTGACTATCTCTTGTGTGCTTTTCTGTGGTGTTCGTCCAAATTTCCTTCGAGACCAAGCCGAGTGCAACGGAAAGTTGTTCAAGAAATTTTGATTCCCTTTTCGATAAGTGATGTAAATGCAGATATAATATTTTTAAATTTTATATCTGATATCTAGGAGGTGCAAAAAGTTGCTCGTCTATTCTGGTGTTTGGCTATTTGGCCAGATTTGGGGATAGGTTGAGTGGAGAATTTTTCGCAACTCTTCATTGTTATTGTTATTTTTACTGCTTTACGCTGATCAGTCTTATACTTGAAAAAAAATAGTTTAAAAAAATTCCGATAAAAAGAAATGATACAAAAAAATTTGCGTAATATATTCCTGCATTTTTTTCGGCTCAAGTCTTCATTTTCCCGCGTTTTCAAAAGAAGGTCAGTATGGCGCAAAGGGCTGTTTATAATTATAAAAAAATAATGCAAATGATTTCCAAAGGTCGTTTTCATTTCAAAAGGTCAGCGCTTTGCTGCATGAAGATTTTATAATCAATTACCGTATGTGATGTTTGTCTTTTTATTAACTGATCGATCTTTGCAATGTGTTTATTTGACTATGGATATTTTCAAGCTGAGGAGAGTCGCAACACAATCTTCAAATGTAACTGATTTTGATATCTATCTATCTATCTATCTATCTATCTATCTATCTATCTATCTATCTATCTATCTATCATAGTCTCTTCCTACAATCTATTTGCCTACTTGATAGTTGAAATACATTCAAACATTTCTCTCACTAGCTGTGACATTATTGCATTATTGATGCGCTATAGTATAGAAAAGATATAGCTTAGTCTGCTAGAAAGTCACTTGTTCAAGGAACCTACCGAGTATTGAAGTCATTCTGCATAAACTAGACGGTTATTTAACCACGATGAGGAATTGCATATATATATATATATATATATATATATATATATATATATATATATATATGTGTGTGTGTGTGTGTGTGTGTGTGTGTGTGTGTGTGTGTGTGTGTGTGTGTTTCTTTAGTTCTATTCCCCATTGTATAGGCAGATTAACATTAGATTAACTTTTTAATAATGACTACTTAAACACGCATACACATTAAATATATTAATTGTACTTATAGGAAATACACACAGATAGATAGATAGATAGATAGATAGATAGATAGATAGATAGATAGGAATCGATACTGTATAGTAAGTGACTGTCAGTTTAACCAATTAAGACATGGAATCGACAGTCACGTTGTAGTGCTGATTCTCATAGCCTAGATATAAAAAATTACTGTATTCGATGCTGAGCAAACTTCCTCAAGAAATATAAAGTATATATATATATATATATATATATATATATATGCGCTCTTCTATGAATCGAGCACTCTGACCATGTTTAATAAAATAAATGCGTAAACTTTCACCTTCCTCTCTGCCAGGGGAAAAATTTTCGACTGATGCCAAATCAGTCGGTTTTTGATCCTGGCTTGAAGCAATCAGATTTCTAGCCACACTGATGAGCTGTGGTATGTGTATATACACGCAACATGGGCGCAGAATTACGCAAGGATGTTCCGATCGATAAATTAAGGACTCTGAGGTCAACTCGTAACATGTGCGAGGCGTTTCGGCAGCATTTCGAGAGCCAATTTTCCAAGGAGCCTGCTTTCTGTGTGTCGAAGAGTTTCACAGCTATTTGGCTTTTGCGAGGGTGAAATTACAGAGGGCGAAGTCTACTTGGCATTAAAGATGGTCGGCAGTGGCAAGTCTTAGACACTTGATGTTCTGCACTCCGAATTGTACTTGAGGCTGTCGCACATCGTTGTGCCGATTTTGACAGTCGTGGTCAACAAATGGTTCCGACCGTGGTGCGTTCCCGACAGGATCTCTCGAGGTGTGAACACGCTATTGAGAAAGGACAAGGACGGTGGGCGGGATTTAGAAGACTATAGGCCCATTGTTAAACACAGTTAACAGATTTTGAGTCAGTTGCGGATATTCTGTTGGGACACAAGCAGACTTGTGTTGTGAAGGTACGGTCCATTAAGATCAAGATGCATCTGTTCAGCACGATCAGAGGGGATGTAGAAAACGACAATGAAGCTGCTTTGATCAATGTGGCGTTCGATAGGTTCGATCATCAGTACCACGCTGCTCTCCTGCTGGCCGCCGGATCCAATCCCGACTTCTGCAAGTAGATCAGCCTCTCCCAGTGCTATGATGTGTGTGAATGGGAAGCGGTTGCGCACTTTTGTGCTGTCACGGTCGATTCGTCAGGGTTGTCCGCTGTCGCCCTTACTTTACGCTTTGGCGTCGGAGTCCCTCTTCGCCGGCTAAGGCTTAGGGCGTGCATTTCGGTCCTACGTGAGATCGTTGTCGCTGGTTAGGCTGGAACCAAGGTTTCCGCGTACGCTGGTGACGTACCCATTTTCGTGTTGTGCTGCAGCGACATCGAGGTGGTACAGAAATCGCTTGAACGTTACGAGAATGTCACGGGGCCCAAGATTAACCGCAACAAGACTTCCGGTTTGCGCTTAGGCGCCTGGCAGTTGTCATGCTTCAGAGGCCATTTAGTTGGATATATTCTTGGGGTCTGGTTTGATCAAGTGATAGAAATTATTAGGAAGATTTGAAATAATCATGTTAAGGTTTCTTCTAGACCCGATGAATTAATTATGATTATTTCTAATCTTCCTAATATTTTTCATCACTATGTGTATATCTTTGTTTGAACCGGCTTCTAATGCTTTCGATGGAGCGGCTTAGGGATAGAAGACGTGGCTTGTAGGGGCACAGTCCCATGGGTAAAGGAAACTCGGATGAGTAACACCATGGAATTTGTGAAGAGCGGCACTATATCGAGTCTAATTCACCTCTGTCACAGAGGCACGTTGGTACATTTGATATGACGCTTATGTCGTATCGTAATGAACCAGTTTCGATTCTCAGTAGGGAATGTGCACATCTGATGAGTCCTAAATATGTAACGAAACGGCCGTCCAGTGCTTTCTGCATTCTGTTGAGGTTTCTTCTGAGATGAATTGATTATGATTATTCCAAAGCCTGCTGATAATTGAATATATATATATATATATATATATATATATATATATATATAAAAAGAGATTTATGAGAAAAAACTTTATAGATATTTTATTATAGTTAGATTTTATTAAATATGTTTACTCGCTAACGTTTTAACACCTATATATATATATATATATATATATATATATATATATATATATATATATATATATCATCATCATCAGGAGAAAAAATATGATATATATATCATCAGGAGAAAAAAAAATCTGCTTGTTAGTAGCAGTGAACCGCAGAAATGAATGACTTGATGGAGGAAATGAACTTTATCTGTAGTTTTCATTTTTTTTATCATGAATTTTGGTCAGACCTTGTGTTAGTCAAACAGTCGCTTTTAAGTTGTTATTTATGATAAGAGCTGGATGGATTCATGCTGCTCTGAATTCCCTTGGTCATTTTGACAGTTTTATTAGTTCCTGGAAAGGAACACACACACACACACACAGACATACATATATATATATATATATATATATATATATATATATATATATATATATATATATATATATATATATATGAGAAGAATTAATGATAGATTTTATTTTTAGTCCGCTATTATTTCTTAAAGTTTTGAATAACAGAATTATATATGCTTAGGATTTAAGAATTTAAGAATTTTACTGATAATTACTCATAGAGGAAGGTAAGTTTTGCGACCATATTTCTCTAAGACACTAATAGCCTATAATTCCATCAGTTCAACCAGCTACTGCTATCATTCAGCAGCAAATCTATAATGCATGCTACAAATTCGGTCTCCATCAACTAAAACTACCATTAGCATCGTTTTTAGTACCAGTGTAGCTAGTAAAGCGTTTGAAATTACAGGCAGTACCGCGACTTTTACTGCAAACGAAGCTATAATGATTCCATCTACTATTATTGACGTCATTAAGTGTTCATGACGTATTAATCCAAGAATACTTTTATGTGGGTGACCTGAGAGTCGCTGTTGTGTTTGCTTGTGATGTTTTGTGGTGGCAGCGAGAGCAAGAAGAGTTCTTCCTTTGCATCCGTCTTTTGAGAATCGTTGGAAAATACTTCTTCTTGTTTTTTTTTTGTTTTTTGTTTTTTTCATGTAAAAGTAGGTTGGAAGCGAAAATAAGAGAAGAGTAAATGTCTCAAGGGAGGGTAAGAAAAGGAACGAAACGCGAGACGTTAAAAGACGTACAATTAGAAATCAAAGTCTGGTAAGGTGGGATTAATTTGAACCGCGTAAACATATCGGTTTGGGTTGGAGACGAGTAAGACAAAGTAAAAGGAAGCTTCTAGAGACATGAAGAGAGAGGGGGAGAAATAATTAAGAGAGATTGAAAGAGAGACAGAGGAGAAAACGCGAAAATGTTTAAAACATGAGAACGAAATTAAATTCTAAAGATTAAAGAAATGTAAATTAAAGATAGAAGAGACTAGAGTTTGGAACAAGTGAACAAATGAATTAAATGCAATATTCTTGGAAAATGGTAGAGGAAAGAAAAACTGAAACAGAGACGTGAGGAAAAATAGAAAGATAAGGAAGAGGAAAGGAAAAGAAAAAGCATAAGAAAAATAGAATGAAAAAGAGAGCAGAAAGAAAGAACTGAAATGAAAACCAGAAGGCAACTTCGAGAAGATAGATAGATAGATAGATAGATAGATAGATAGATAGATAGATAGAAAGAAAAAAGAAACAAAAATTATTTTAGGTAAAAATCAAAATGTAAGAAAGAAGATAAAAATACATAAAAACGGGATAAAGTAAAAATGAAAACTTTGAAGAGAATAAAATAAAGGAATTAATACAATCGAAAGAAAAATAAAAACATTCGAATGTAATAACGTAAAAAATAGAAGGAAAAGAAAAAGAAAGGTTTAAAGAAAAATAAAATTAAGAATAGAGGCATCAAAATAAGATCAGTATTGGGATCGAAAAGAAAGACAAATGAAGAATATATATATATATATATATATATATATATATATATATATATATATATATATATATATATATCACTGCCATGAACAGACAAAATTAGTTTTATTATTACCACTCATGATAATAAAAAGTAAACATGAAAAAAGGGGCAGCTAACCGGTGTCATACCTCGCTCAGAGCTGAATCGAGGTAAATAGAGTAAAGTCTTTTAATGATAGAATATAGATGGTATTTATCAATTCACCCACAGGAATTGAATGTGGCACAAGGCCTTTTTAATGTGGGTATGTCTGAGCCCGTAGGCCCAGCCAAAAATAAAACCCATCTAAACCCGTCCAAGCGGGCTAGTTCCGTCAACCTCCCCCAACGAAACCCCACCCTTCGGCGGAGCTTCGTCCGGGTTCCTCTCTGCAAGCAGAGAGTTCGACAGACACCCGACCCGGCAGCTCACAAAGCGCAGATACTACACTTTGATCCTGGCCACCGGGCCGAGCGGGTATTCTTTTTATGGATGCTATAATGATAGAATATAGATGGCCTCCAACACTTTTAGGTGGTAATTTGAACGGGACTTGCTAAGGATGGCAAAAACGTCCGCGAGATTTATTGCATAAAAATAAAATTTTGGCACAAGGCCGACAAAAGAGGAGGGGTTGAGGCTGATCTTCGCTAACTATCTAGCTA